GTATGTGTGGTATAACTTTTATTTCTTTCAAATTAAGAGTCACATTTTAAATAAACTGTTCATTCTATGCAGGCAGTGAGAGGACTAGGGTGCTATATCCCACAGAATCTCACCTCATTTCAAACACTACAAATATTTTCATCCTATAAAATATATTTTCAATTGAAATTAAACATTTAATGAGTAGTTTTATCCTAGTGCATTAGCCCATTTGGGCTGCTATTAACAAACTACTATAAGCTTATAAACAACAAATTTTTTTTGCACAGCTCTGGAGGCTGGCAAGTCCAAGATCAAGGTGCAGGCAGATTCCATGTCTGATGAGGGCCTGCTTCCTGGTTCATAGACAGCTGTCTTCCTGTGTACTTACATGGTGGAAAGGGCGAGAGAGTTCTTTGGGGTCTCTTTTGTAAGGGAACTAAACTCATTCATGAAGGCCATTCCCTCTTGACCTAATCACCTACCAAAGGCCCCGTCTTTTAATACCATCACCTTGCTGGTTAACATTTCAACATATGAACTTGGTGGGAGGGACACAAACATTCAGTCTATACCATCCACGATGTGGATCTTGAATAAAATCTCTCTGGAACTTCATTTTAAAACCATAGTAGTTCAATCCTTGTACCAGCTAGCTGCCAAAAGCAAAGAAACAAACAAAAAACTTAAAACCGTGATAGAGGCAGTCTATAAGTCACATATGAAAACCAGTTTTTATTGATAGTCTCACAAAGCTTTTGATCAAAAAATATAGCCCTACATCATCAGCCATTTTATTCACTGGAGTTGGACTTGAAGAAATGACTTTTGGCCAATTCCAAAAATTAAATCTACCCACAAAGGGCCAAGATTTGTAACCAATGAAGATAATTAAAGGAATGGGCTGTAGGCTTCAAAGGCAAGTCTGAAGGAGAGCTTCTAAAAGTATTTTGCACCATGATAGCATTAAAAGAGTAAGCACACAGACCCCAAGATAATGTCTTTGAAGAGGAAGATAAATTTTTGGATCTTTAAGTATGTACGTTTAAGTAATAAGTACAAAAGTAGTTACTTTATAATTAAACCATATTCCTCTTGATCTTCTTATAATAAGATCATTCTATAATTTATAATATGATTTTTTTTTTTTAATTCAAGTTTTACAGTAACCCTATTGGTTAAGTATCCCTGCCAGTTCTACAGATGAAGAAACAGAGTTATACTCAACTCAGGTCTCTTGAATCCAAAATCACTGCTTTCTCTACATGCTTAGTTGTCTAGGATCATATAACTTGAGAAGGGAGAAGCCAGGATTCACAGCCTCTCCCTCTGACCAGGGCATGGACATCTTGATCAATTATTTAGCTGCTCTTAATCAACGCTCTCTGTGGGTTTGATTGGTCTGCCAATTTGCAAATAGTCAGCCCTGTAGTAAGTATCCAGACTGATTTTTTTAATAATAATATTTCTCATTTTAAAGTAGTGGTGATTGAGTGACATGTGAATTTCTTAGACACTTTTTAAAGTCCTAAAACATTTGCTAAATTGGTCTTAAAGCACAGGAATAATCTGGGAAATCTTATGATAATTGGTAACCATTGTATCAGTCAAAATAAAACAATGCTTGTGGCATTACAACTAAAGAGCCCTGGGTCAGAACTGGGTTTTGGTCAGGACTCTATTCCTTAGTTTCTTTAAGATATTGTGAAAATCACTTAAACTCTCTGGGCTTCTGTACCACTTAGGGTTCTTAATTTTTTTTTTCTGGGGGGGGGGCAGCCTGCCTATATGGGGATCCAAATCCTCAACCTCGGTGAGGGTTCTTAAATTTGATGTTAAGTAATGGGAACTGGCTACAGCTAACTAAAGCCAAAGGGGATGTATTGGAAGGATACTGCAAGATTTACAAACACCTGAAGGGTTGGGAACCAAGCTTAGAAACTGACAAAAACCAAGTACCTGGATGACCTGAACTAAAAGGAAATTGGGGCGTTATCAGGGATAACGGAATGAATGAAGGGCAGTTCACCACTGCTTCCCTTTTCACTCCTAACGAGATAATCTCTAAGAGGTCTTCTAACTCTGACATCCTCTGCTTCTGTGTTTGGAGAAGAGTGAGCAGGAGGGGTGCATATGCAAACAGGGTTGTCAAAAATGCTTTGGCTGGATGTGTACCTAAAGGCTCTGGGCAGCTGAGGAAGGCTAAGCCACCATAGTAGCACAGAGGCTGACCAATTTGGCATGCAGCAAACAGGAAGCAGAAGAGGGATCTGAAGCAAGCAAAGTGTTTGGGAGGACAGATTATGAGGAACATGCACAAATGTCATTTCTAACAAGGCCTGGAAGCTTCTAGGTGCTTCTAACAGTTACTGCCTTTACAAACACAGGACAGTCTTGACTATATGAAAGAGACTGGTGACTATGAAAGAAGGTTTCCTCATGCCTATGAAAAGAGACATAGTACCTAGAACTGACTTGAGCTTCATATTTGAAGATAACACATGACTAAGCCGTAGATAGCTTCTGAAATCAAAAGTTACAAACTGGCAGCCCATAGGTCAGATATGGCCTACAGAGAAAAATTAGTTACTGTCTTAGTCCATTTTGTGCTGCTATAATAGAAAACCAAAGACTTGGTAATTTATAAAGAACAGAAATGTATTTCTCACAGTTCTAGAGGCTAAGAAGTCCAAGATCTAAGGGCTGGCATCTGGTGAGAACCTTCTTGATGTGTCATAACATGGTGAAGGACATCATATGGGCAGAAGAGAGAGGGAAGGGAGCTAAAGACATCCTTCTATAAGAAACCCACTCCTTCTATAGCAATCTCACTCCTACGATAACAGCATTATTCCATTCATGAGGGCTGAGCCCTCATGGCCTAATCACCTCTTAAAGTCCCACCTCCTAACAATATTGCATTGGGGATTAAGTTTCCAACACATGAACTTTGGGGGACACAATCAAACCACAGCAATTACCAAAGATAAAAATTCAGATTTCTCTTGGGCTGGTGGGGTGGAAACTCGGGCAACCCCAGACTTGTATTCTCACATAACAACAGTTGTCTACTGCCTTCTGTTGGGGTGTGGGCTCTCCATGTTGCTATACCCTCCTTGTGGCCCCCTTCATTTATAAAATTACTTGCCTGGACTTGGAAGCACTCGTTTCTGACCATTGATGTACGTACTTCCATGACAACCACACAAGGCCAGAGTGTGGGCTGCCCTGAGTGACCTGTTAAAGGCCCTAACCTCTGTCTTTGTGATCCCTTTGGGAAGATCCCTACCCTCCTGACTTACTAACTGTAACTGCTGGAAACAACTATCTGTTCTACCCCTACTAAGCCACATCTGTCTTTTCTGCCAGAGCCAATCCTCAAGCATATGCTTCTCCAAAGGATCCTAATTACCTGATAGTGGAAGTGGAAGGAAACCATCCCCATCTAGCATCTTCTTCTAAAATGCAGGGGAAAAGCTAACAATGATGTATCTGAAAGAAAACCCCTTTTGTTTGACTTCTTTGATGACAACCTCTGAGAAAAACCTTCCCTTAGGATTACTTATTTAGTTTGAATCGTTGTGGATATGCTGGACACTAATTGATGATGACGTTCCTTAGTCTCCTCTGCACCTATCTGATCCCATCTGGATGCTGGCCCTCACGTATTTCTACTCCTGAACTCCAGCATACAATGTATGATTCACTCTGGACTCTGCTGGGTCCATTCTCTACAAAGTAGCCACAACGTTTTCTAATCTAAATCCCTTTGACGGCTTTAAGTTGCTTTTAGGATAAACTAAAATGCTTGGAGCAGTCTACAAATTCTTGAACTATTTGTTTCTTAGACTTCACCTACCATTGCATCTTCCCTGAGTCACTACACTTGGACCACTTGGGTCTTCCCTTCAATTGGTGGAGGATACCATGCTTGTTCCACCTGACGTCCTTGACACTTGCTGTTGCCTCTTCCTGAGGGGACTCCCCTTCCTCCCCACTCTTTCCCCCATCTCCTACCATCCTTCGGGCCTCAGTTTTTGAAAGCCACTTGGTCCGAGAAGCCTTCCCTATCTTCCACCTCCCTCTGTTCTCACTCCTTATCCTCATTTCTCGTGCTTCTATTCCCTTCTTTCGTTGTTCTTAACACAATTTTTTTTTCTTTTTTCTTTTTTTTAAGATGACCGGTAAGGGGATCTTAACCCTTGACTTGGTGTTGTCAGTACCACACTCTCCCAAGTGAGCCAAGGGCTGGCCCCATTCTTAACACAATTTGTCTATTTCTCAACTAATCTGTAAATTCTGAGAGTAAACATTATCTATTTTGCACCCCATTGAATATTCAGGGTCAGCACAGTCCCTGCCATAATATAGTAGGTGAGAAAGTTATTTGTCAAATGAATGAATGAAAAACCCTTATTCCATCCCTCAGGCCAGTTTAACCCCACGCTATGGCATCTTCTGGACTGAATAAGACATCCTTTCTTAATGAGAAATATTTTTACCTCAGCCTCATGTAAGCAAACGCAGGATGGTTTATCATAAGATAAGCCTCGTGGAGAGGAAAGCTATTAACCTTCTGGTTCCTGAAGTGGGAACCTTAGAACTTGTTAGAAATGCGAATTCTCAGGCCTCACTCCAGACCAACTAATCAGTAAACGCTGGGGGTGTGGCCCAGAAATCTGTTTTAACAAGCTTTCCAGGTGATTCTGATGCACCCTAAATTTGAAACCGTTGCTTTAGGCTTTCCAGTTTTAACATTAAAAAAATTATTTTTTGGCCCTTAATCATTGGTATTATCACTCCAAAGGGAAATCTTTGTCATCCAAAAACCCTGAATAAAAGCCTATTTGTGTACGGCATATTACGTAGAATATATTTCCTGGGAGGTTTACCTTCCTTGAGGGCACGGACGTGCCTGTGAGGGGCCCATAATCTAAAGTCCTGTAACAACGCACGAGTGTAACTGAATAAAACCTTGGAACAAAGGCTCGGGCCTTCGTTCATTCGTTCCCGATGCTCACCACGTTCTGATATCGCTCCTTTTCACCCAGAAAAGCAGCCACTCAAGTTACAGGAATATTTGCATGACGCTGACAACGTTTTCAATTAGGCCGTGCTCCCCCGGCACTAGAGAAGATATTCGTGGCTGCGGGAGGCGCTTCCATCCCTTGCTCAGAAGTAATCTAAACCGAAAGGCTGAACAGATAAGATCCCTCCAGCTTCCGAAGGAGGACTGGAAGCTCAGGCTGACTTCTCCGCCTCTACCCTCCTGGAAAACCCGAAGTGGATTCACTAACATCGGGACGGGAGCCGCGCACGGCGGCCGCACCTCACTGCGCATGCTCCCTGCCCCTCCCGCTCGGAGGCGGAAGGGGGAGCGCTCGCGGCCTGAGCCTGGCCTGGCCGGGGCGTCGGCACCGGCGGCCATTTTGGCTTCCCGGGGACAGGCGGCTTGAAGGGAAGAAGTTGTAGGGTGGGGGCCGGAGGGAGGAGGAGGGAAGAGAGAGGGGGAGGAGGCCGCGGCGGGGCAGGGCGGGGACTGCCTGCCTGCCCGGGTTGCGGAAGTGGTAGCCGCTGACCGAGCTTGCTGCTTTCTTGCTACTGCTTCGGCTTCCCGGCTCCCCCACGGACGGAGAGGGCGGCCCGGCTGTGAATGGTCAGATAGCCCCATCTTCCGCCGCCAATCTCTGGCCCCTACCAGCACGGAGCAGACGGCGGCAGCAGCAGGCGAGGAGGAAGATGGCGGGACGGCTGCCGGCCTGTGTGGTGGACTGTGGCACGGGGTAATGGGGGTGACGGGCTGGGGTGGGGAAACTGAGGCGGGAGAAGGAAAATGGCGGGGGAGGGAAGAGGCCTGGAGATGAACGGTGTGGCGAGGTGCCTCCGCCGGCTGTCAGTGCTAGCCTCGCCGGCTTGCGAGGGGTGGGGCCCGGAGTCAGGGCCTCCCTCGACCGCTCGCTCCCCTCTCCTGGGACTGGGGCGGGGGCCGAGAAACCCTCCCGCCCCTCAGGAGCGGCTTCCTCCGCTCAACCCCTCCCGGCCCTTCCCCCACTGCGGTGGGCAGCGCAGCCCAAGGAGAGGTGGGGACGGTCACCTCTCCCGGAGCCGCGGTGGCCGTGGGGGGTGGTCGTCGAGCCTGGCCCACCCGGTTTACTTTCTCCTCGCGCCCCTTCTTGGCTGTGGGCTTGGGAACCGAGGGCATCGACCGCGGGGACTGACCTGGCCGAGAAGAGAGAAAAGAGAAGCTCTCCTTGTAGGTTTTGCAAGATTGCTGTGACAACACTGCCCAGGGTGTGGGTGGGGAAAGGGAAGAATTGGACTCTGAAAATGAGAACCTAGAACGGGGTTTTCGTTTGACCACCCACCTCCTTTTCCCGATTACTGGTCATTTCCATCTCTCACTGTGTTTTTACCGGCGAACCAAGTCTCATTTTAATTCAAGAGAAAAAGATGTCATGTGTTACTTCTCTTGCTTCAAAAAAGTCCCCCAGTGAGCAAGCGCGCAGCAACTTCCTTAGTTTTGTCAAAGCCGCTTCCTGCTTTCAGTCTTTTATACCCTTATAAGGTAGTTTTTCGTTTCCAACCTGAACACATCTTATTAGAACTTTTAAAATTAAGTAGGTTTCAAAGAGGCTGAGTTACAGGTACTAGGTATCAACTGATGTGAACTTAAAGAAATGTACTTGTGTTGCACGGAGAGGGGAGAAGGGAAACACCGTGGAAAATAAAGTAATTTAAGTTGTTCATTCCGTGATGATATCTTGAAACAAGAGGGAAGGTATAGAGGTATAAAGGAATGCGCTTAATTTGCAAGTAGTTTCGGATAGATCTGTAGAGTAGCTCACTAAAATATAGAATGACTTTATAAACTGGTCGTTCCTTTTGTATTAATAGACATTTTTAGAAAGTTATAGCAACTCTGTATACTTACATAGAGACTAGACTGTATTTTAATGTAGAATGACTGCTTTATGTTGCGATATTGGAAGTGTTCTTCTTTGGGCTTGTGCTTATTGCATCTCTTTAATCCCCTAAACATTCCGGTCTTTTTGAGGGGTGGATTGCCAGCCTTTTCCCCCCCTTTTGTTATTCACCATACTGTTGTTACTATGTCCCTCACTCTTTATTTTTTCTATGTAAAATTTCTCTAATCTTCATCCTCATAGCTTTATGTTAGTGTGGCGGTTTCTAAAATTCCAGTCAGGCAGAAGGAAATAACCGAATTCTCAAGACTTTGCTTTGGAAATCTCTAGCCTAGGTTAGCCTTGAACTTCTATTTATTTTTTTGGTGGACACGTAATTAAAGTTAGTTTCTCCTTAATGCAGTCTCATTTTCCTGAACCAGTATTTTTTTTCTTTCTTTCTCACTTTTTGGTATCACTGGTGAGTAGTTTTATGTTTAGGGTCAGTTTTAAAATTAGATTTGGCCTGAGTGAATAGGATTTTTCAAGTGTGTTTTGTTAAAGTGAAAAATACTGCTATATAATTAATACTTTAATACCTTAGAAATAACTGAGTAACATCTTAGGTAGGATGTTACTTTTTCTTTCTTTTGGGGAGGGGGGCTGGCCTTGGGGACATGAACCCTTGCCCTTGGTGTTACAAGGCTGCGCTCTAACCAACTGAGGTAACCAGGTAGCCTAGATGTTACTTTTTCTTTCTCCATTTTTCCCATTTTGAAGTACACTTTTGGTTATTTTTGAATTAGTAGACAACACTCGGCATCTCATTGAGGTTAACTGTCCTTAAGTGACCTACCTGTTCTCTGAAAGGTCAGCCTTGATTTAAAATGCATGCTGAGTGGCCAGGGGGAGTAGGGAGAGGGGTTCTATCTATACCTAAGATATTTCTGTTTTAATATTTCAATTATAATATTATTACATTTTTACGTTATTACATAGATCTCATCTCATAGGGAGAGGTTGTTAACTGGACACTCATGATTTGAATGGAACTGATTAGGAGTCCCCTTGTCCCGTCACTGTCTCACAGATGATTTTACCATCTGTCACAATCTTTAGAGTTTCATTTATTTTGGTCTTCAGAAGGTGTTTTGGTCTTTCCAGTTGTCTATTAAATGCAACTCCTGGAAGGCTACACCTTCAGCTTTATTGTTAGCGCATAGAGAGGATGAGTCCTTGAGATGGGACCTGATACAAACATCTGTTAAGTATGGCCTTAAGGGGTTTTATGTTCCAAAATACTGTGGTCCCCAAATGCATTCTGTGCACCTATAGTTTATGTATTCCTTTATTCTTTAGAGAATGTATTTATCTCTCAGGTCTCTAATTACAATTACCCACTTAGTGTAAGTGAAAAATTATAATCCGAATCAGGTTGCTCATTCCATTTCACTATGTAAATTAGGCAAAAGGTGGCCAAAAAAAGTAGCCATCTATGTAACTTGGTGGTCTTAGATAAGAAAAGCTGTAAGAGTTAGGAAACAAGAAACTTAATCCCAAAACTTAAATTTAGGGATCCTCCAGCAAAAATCAACATGAGAAACAGAATTACCTAGGCTCAGGTTATACAAGAAAATACTCACTTTGAAAAGAATTTAGAAAGAAATGCTTTTTTCATATTGATATATCTATACACATTTTTGGTCTGTATTGGAAAGGCATTGTAGAATAAAATTTGGGCATGAGTATAAATTCCAATTGATGGAGCTGCTTGCTTAAATATTAAATTACAGAATTCAAACCTGCTACTAGTGATGAAGAAAGCAATTTTTTTCCCCTAAGGCATTTTTATTTATTTATTTATTTATTTAAAAGATGACCAGTAAGGGGATCTTAACCCTTGACTTGGTGTTGTCAGCACCATGCTCAGCCAGCGAGCCAACTGGCCATCCCTATATGGGATCCGAACCCGGGGCCTTGGTGTTATCAGCACCGCACTCT